ATATGCTAATTTTTTGGGACAGGCATTTTGGGTTTTCATGAGCTGTATGCCATAATCATCAGTATTAAAACAACTAAAGATCTGAAGTGTTTCAGTTGGTGTGCAAAGAATCTGAAATATATGAAAGTTTCATTTTTATCATTACATTATGGAAAATAATGACCTTTATCACAATATGCTAATTTTTTGAGAAGGACCTGTATATCTATGGGCTCGACTGCACAGTGCAGTGTGAATGCAAACGCACCAGCTCAAATGTAAACAAAATGTCATGGATATTGGTCCCCAACTGAACCAAGTCTACCAGACTATCAGGTGTGAAAACAACCTAAGGGGAGGAGATACAAAGAAAACAGAAGGAGTCCAAGAATGGAGACTTGCGGGACCCCGCAGGAAAGAGGCACTGAAGTAGATAGTGATAGCAAAATTAACACAGAAACTCCTGTCGCTCAGGTATGAATGGAACCATTCTAATGCTGCACCAGTAATCCCAACCCAGTGTTCTACTGTAGCTGGGATAAAAGGATTCTGTGGTCCACAGTATCAAATGCAGCGGTAAGGTCAAAGAGTACCAGGACTACAGACTGACCAGAGTCATTTGCCAGAAGAATGTCGTTGCAGACACCAACTAAGGCTGTTTCGGTGCTTTGTAGTTTCTTAAAGCCAGACTGAAAGATCTCAAGAATAGAATTTCCACTCAAGAGCTCGTTTAATTGAGTGAAAACTATTTTCTCCAGGATCTTAGAAAGAAAGGGAAGTTTGGAGATGGGTCTGAAGTTTGAGCAGGTTGAAGGGTCAAGTCTGGGTTTTTTTAATTAAAGGAGTTACCACTGCATGTTTAAAAGCATCAGGAACTACACCTGTAGCCATACAGCTGTTTATGTCAAGAACAGAGGGTCCAATGGAGGGCAGGACTTGTTTACAAAACGATGCAGGGATGGGGTCAGCAGGGGAACCTGAGGGTTTCATATGACCAATGACGTCATTTAGAAATGAGAGGGAAATGGGTTCAAAGTGGTTAAAGACTGATGTGGAGGGGACAAAGACAGAGGTGTCAGCTGTGGTGTGAGGAATCAGTGACCTGGTCGACTCAACCTTTTCAACAAAGAAACTGGCAAAGTCCTCACATGTAACTGCAGAGACCTCCCTGTTCGCAGACTGAGGCACGGTTAAAATGGCGTTAATGGTATTGAAAAGAATGTGGGGATTGTGGCTGTTTGAGGCGATGATTTGGGAGAAATATTTGTTTTTTTCTGACTTAACAGTGGCCTGGTACTCTTTGTAACATGATTTTAGCATGATAAAAGAAATGTGAAGTTTGTCCTTCTTCCATTTACTAAGACATTCCTGGAGGCACCACTGCTAATTTCATTTTAAAGGTTTGACCAAATCTGCAGCAGTTCAGTCATTTTTCATCATAAGATGATCTTAGTCTCAACTCTGGTATGAAAAGTGGTATGCATTAGTTGAAGACAAGCCTCGATTCCTTTATTTATCTCGACGAAAACAGCAGCAGGAAATCTGCACTCTGTCGCCTCCTGTGGCCACTGCTGGTATCACAGCAGTTTAAACAGCACTTACCTCTGTCGCCCCCCAGTGGCCACTGCTGGTATCATCGCTGTTTAAACAGGGTGATAATGTTTTGCTCGCAGTAGATAACCACCCCCTGGATTTTTCGTGTCGTTTCTATCGCTCTCCGTGGATTAATACCGAGCTGAAAACACCATTTTCCTGCCGACTCCTGAATTACTGTCGACGGAGAGCCGAGCTGTATGTCGGCGCGGTTTGTTTGTCTTCATGGAGCTGTTGGACCAGAGTTTGTCTCAAATGTCCCTGCTGTCCGCGGATTAACGCGGGATTCGTCTCTTCTGTGAAGAGCTGTGGTCCCACCTGAACAGACAGTCTGGACCGGGATCCATATTCTGAAGGCTACTGTGTTGTCGGTTCGGGGGAAACTCGGTGGAAATTCTGTGAAGTCTACAAGACCCGGCGGACACTTGTTGAAACCCGTTCCGCACCGAGCAGACCTCTGCTAACGTTTTGGAAGAGACCAACTTTAAAGTCGCTTTTTTAAATGGAAGACTGACTTTAGTGTGGACAGACAGAAGACTCGGACAGACTGGAGACAGGAGTGTGGACAGACAGAATGATCATTTCGTCTTCATGATCACTCGCAGCTGCGGAGCTAACTTGGCTAGCTGCGCTAGCGGCTAACGTCATGTTAATTTAAACAAGTACTTCATGGAAACGTCTAAATTTAAGTGTTCATAAACTCATAACTTGTTGTAGCCTTCAGATACTTCTTCTGGAAAGTTTCTGCAGACAACCAGGGAACCTAAACCCCAGCAGGGACTTTTGTTCCCCCCGCTTTGTGTTCACAACTTTTTATTATTTCAGGACGCCTAGCTTAGCATCGTTAGCTCGGTTCGGAGCCGAGCTGCTTGTGTCCGCGGCGGGTGATGCTGCAACCTTCCGCCACAGGCTTTGGAAGATAGACCCCGCTTCCCCCGGCGCCCACTTTCCGTGTTTTCTCCTGCTTCCACCGACACGCTGAAGTTGTGAACTGCGGCCCGCAGACGATGTCCGGCTCCGCGGGCACAGGTGGCTCGACCCCCCGGAAGTTCAGCGACAAGATCGCGCTGCACAACCAGAAGCAGGCGGAGGAGACCCGGGCCTTCGAGCAGCTCATGACCGACCTCACCGTGTCCCGGGTAAATACACGTCCCCGGGTCCGGGTCTGAGGACCGTGGACGGGGCTCCTTTATTCTCAGGGTTTATCATTTGAATCTGCTGCAGAGTTAAAAAGAAGTATTTAAATGACTTTCATTTAAAACTTTGAACAATTTCCATAAAAGTTTTAGGGTGCCGATGCAGCTTCCCGTGATGGTTACCAGGGCAACCACGCACCTGTGTCCATCACTCCCTGACAGCCAATTTAGCAGCGGCTGTGTACAAAGCACAAGTGAAAGTTGACAGATTCCTGAGCGGAGAGCAGCAGAAGACTGATGGTCACACGTGGATTATTACACGTCCCTAGAGTTTGATGGACAAATTAACAGGACTTCCGGTTTGGAAGAGAATATTCAGAGCAGAAATATGGTTGAAGTTTGGCTGTGAGCTCTGTATTCTGGAGGGATTTAGGAAAAACAAAAAGTCTAAAACAGAGAGACTGTGTGAAATGAGATACAATGTTTGTTTTGGCATAAAGAGTGGGTAACAAACTTTTACACACTTCTAAAGTTAAAGTGTAACACCGTCAGCTGGACAGGACAATAATCGTAAAACCCAAACTGTGATTGTGTAAAAACATAAAATATCAAAAGTTACTCCTTTTGCATGTTTGGGTGCACGGTTGGCCTGTTTTAATTCAAAGCTGCACAAAGACATAAAGAAGATCAGGACATTAAATGATGGTTTTTCAAAGCTCGTTGGCACCTTTAAAGTTCACAACGCCAGCGTGTGCAGTGTCCGTATGGTAAATTATTCCAAATAGCACGAACTGCATGCAGAAGCACAGCTAATTTGTCAACTGATGCTGTGATTGGGATGAGAAGGTGTTTTAATTTACAGCAGGTGTCTTCATCACAGTATTTTAACACTAATATTGCAGTCATCTAGAATGAAAGTACACAGCTTCCAGTCAGTCAGGGTTAGAAATGCTGCAAGCACATCTAAAGTCTTGGTTTGTTGTAAACAATGAGTGTGACACTTCATTGACTGCACCGGTTTACTGACACCCTCTTTGTTTTAAAGGAACCAGATGTTGTGTGTTCATTAGGATCAGATTAACGACTCGGTTCACCAGGCAGGAGTCCCGTCTTTCATCTGAAACGTCTGGAAGCTCTTCCTTCTCTTGTGTCCAAGCTGCAGCTGTCGTAGATCTGCTCTTTCACTTTCTGCTTCAGAGTGGGGAAATCTGTGCGTGCATGGATTGGGCCAAAGACGTTTGCTGGATGTACGAGTGCAACCTTGAACTTAGTGCTACAAATAAAGTAGTATTCTTGGAAGAGGAATATGCCCACAACGTTTTAAAGTATTATTGAGTCTAGATGCAGTGGAGGAATGGCTTTTTGTTTTACTCATTCTTCAGTCTTTTGTAGTTGCCGTACAAACGCAGCTCGAATGAACACTTCTTACATCAGTGACCTGAGTTGTAGCCACTTTATTTTTAAATTTGGAACCCGACTTCTGTGAAATGATCACAAAGATTTTTTAAATATATACATTTTGCTTCATCATGTTCATTCTCAGCACTCTCTCCTCTTACTCACTCCTATCCTGAGCGACCAGACTTCTTTGAGCTCTTTCTCTCAACCTACCAGTAGAAGATTGTGGTCGAGTTCCCAGTTGATCCCAGCTCTTCCCACTGTATGGTGAAACTGAACCGATCGTTTGATTTATAGATAAAATAAATATAAAAACAACGGGACTTCTCTTTCGTAGCTGAAGGCGTTTCTCTTATAATTTCATGAAACTTCTGGATTGTTTCGTATAACTTGACGAGAGGCTTCATTATGTTCACCTGCAGATTAAAACGCTCCCTCCCAACAGAGAGCCGTCAGGCTCTGCTCTCTGACTCAGATGTTTGGGTCACCTGCATGAAGGTGCGAATTAGAGGAAAGCTGACCTGGAATCAGCCCTGATGCTGCACTGAACTGAGAGTTTATGAAAGTAGAAATCTGAAACTTTCTCCTCCGCTTAAAGATGTTTTTTTCTCATTTGATGTAAATGGCGTCCGTCACCCACCTCTAACATCTGCCTTCTCTGTCCAGAACATGGACGTGTTGGTCCTCACGTGTCCCCTGTCCTTGAGGTGTAGGTGGACCACTGGGTCTGGTTCTGAAGAGCTGCTCATGTGTTGAGCCATGTGGAGAGGTTGTTTAGTTTCTCCAGTAAAGGGGTCTGAACATTCCTCGCTGCAGACACACTGCTCAGTTTGGGTCTGGAGGTTCTGTCCTCGGGATGGACCTGCCTCTGTCTGAGAGTCCTGTTGGGTTTCAAATGGACCGGGATGTTGCATTTGGAGAAAATCAGTTTCCTTCTGTCCTTGTGTGGACATGTTCGGCTCGGTGGTGCAGAGTTCTGATTACAGAAAGTGTGTGTTTCAGTGAGTGGTGAGATTCAGACGGTTCTGATCCGTGTGACTTGGTTTTCTGTAAACTTCAGTGTTCAGGCTTCCATTCGAGTTCTAGCTCCTGTTTGTGAAATGTTTTGGTGCTGCTAGAAGCATTTTTAAGGAACTGAGACTTCAGTTTGTGGATCTGGACTGTTTGTGAAGGAGTTGCAAAGGTTTATTATCTGGGTGTCCAAATACTTCTTTAAAACTTTGGGGCGGCTGTGGCTGAGTGGTTAGAGCAGTCGTCTCCAATGCAAGAGTTGGGGGTTCGAACCCCACAGCAGTCACATGCCGAAGTGTCCCTGGGCAAGACACTGAACCCCTTGTTGCCTCCGATGTGTGTCCCATCAGTGTATGAATGTGATAAAGCTCTGATTAGTCTCTTTAGAATGATTTGTTCAATTAGCTTTGTAGAGATCTAGTATAGAGCTGTATGAATGGATAAATGAGGCACAGATTGTAGTGTAAAGTGCTTTGAGTGTCTCAGTAAGGTAGAAAGGCGTTTATATAAGTACAGTCCATTTAAAACGTCTTCAGTTGATCCAAAATGCTGCTTCCAGAGTCTTAACTGGAGTTAGTGGGAGAGATCATATCTCTCCAGTTTTAGTTTCTCTCCATTGGCTCCCTGTCAAATCCAGAATAGAATTCAAAATCTTACTTCTAACCTACAAAGCTCTCAACAACCTAGCTCCATCTTATATTACAGATCTTATTGTTCCATATTTTCCTAACAGAGCACTTCACTCTCAGGCTGCAGGTTTACTTGCGGTTCCTAGAGTTTCCAAAAGCAGAATGGGAGCAGTTATCAGGCTCCTCTCTTGTGGAACCAACTTCCAGTTTCTGTCTGTGAGGCTGACACATTGTCCAGTTTTAAGACTGGGATTAAGACTTTCCTTTTTGATAAATCCTATAGTTAGGGCTGGCTTGGCTTATGCTGCTATATAAGTGATGCTGGTCATAAAATTAGAATATCATGAAAAAGTTGATTTTAATAATTCCGTTTAAAATTTGAAAACTATTAAAGGCAACTGGTGCCACACTTTAATCAGCTAATTAACGCAAAACTCTTGAAAAGGCCTTAAAATGGTCTCAGTCTAGTTCTTTAGGCTACACCATCATGGGGAAAACTGCTGACTTGACAGTTGTCCAAAAGATGACTATTGACACCTTGCACAAGGAGGGCAAGATGCAAAAGGTCATTGCTGAAGAGACTGACTGTTCACAGAGCTCTGTGTCAAGCACATTAACAGAGAGGTGAAGGGAAGGAAATGATGTGGTAGAAAAAAAGTGTACAAGCAATAGGGATAACTGCACCCTCTAGAGGACGGTGAAACAAAACCCATTTCAAAATGTGGGGGAAATTCACAAAGGATGGACTGCAGCTGGTGTCAGTGCTTCAAGAACCACCATGCACAGACATATGCAAGACATGGGTTTCAGCTGTAGCATTCCTTGTGTCAAGCCACTCTTGAACAAGAGACAGTGTCAGAAGCGTCTCACCTGGGACTGCTGCTGAGTGGTCCAAAGTTATGTTCTCTGATGAAAGTAAATTTTGCATTTCTTTTGGAAATCAACGTCCCAGAGTCTGGAGGAAGAGAGGAAAGGCACAGCATCCATGCTGCTTGAGGTCCAGTGTCAAGTTTCCACAGTCAGTGATGGTTTGGGGTGCCATGTCATCTGCTGGTGTTGGTCCACTGTGTTTCCTGAGGTCCAAGGTCAATGCGGCCATCTACCAGGAAGTTTTAGAGAACTTCATGCTTCCTGGTGCTGACCAACAATTCAGAAGAGCTGAAGGCCACGATCAGAACAACCTGGGCTCTAATAACACTTGAGCAGTGCCACAGACTGATCGACTCCATGCAACACTGCATTGCTGCAGTAATCCAGACAAAAGGAGCAACAACTAAGTATTGATGCTGTACATGCTCATACTTTTCATGCTCATACTTTTCAGTTGGCCAACATTTCTAAAAATCTTTTTTTTTATTGGTCTTAAGTAATTTATAATTTTCTGAGTTACTGAATTTGGGGTTTTCATTAGTTGTCAGTTATAATCATCAACATTAAAAGAAATAAACATTTGAATTATATCAGTCTGTGTGTAATGAATGAATATAATATACAAGTTTCACTTTTTGAATGGAATTACTGAAATAAATCAACTTTTTCATGATATTCTAAATGTATAATCTACAGCAGTCTTACACATTTGGCTGTGGCACCAGTGACATCATCAGCCAGGGACCTCACAATCATTCCAGGCTAGGACTTTTGTTCATGAACACTAAAAACAATTCATACAATTTTTAAATCAGAAAACTTGGTCACTGGAATGTTTTATAGTTTATGGAAGTGTTTCAATAAATGTAAATATACAGTTCATCTTCCAAATCCTACAAATAGTGTATTTTAGGATTATATCTAGCCTTTTTTACACAGAGCGCTCATCATTTGTTGACAATGTCCTCTTTCTATGAAAGGGGGAGGGTTGGTGTTGAATGGGCAGGGATGTGGTTGTCAGTGAATGAAATACAGAGTGAACTGTCAGTGAACCCTGCGTGGAAGGAAAACCCAGAAAGTCCGCCAGAGCCCTGGACAAAGACAGCCAACATCTGAAATTAGACATGAATTATTTACATTCAAGTCAACAACTGAGAGTTCTGGACCACCTCTGAGCCGGTGTGGCAGCAGCTAGTTTCATTGTGAATAAAATACCAGGAGGTTCTATGTGAGAGCAGCTGAAATGTTTCTGATTGTCTTCAGTTTGCTGGGACAGGAATGATTGTAGTCTCACATTCACCCTCTACGGTTACAGGAATTTAAATAAATGTTTTATAACAGGCAGTTTAAAAAATATATTTTGTTTGGTGTTTTGGGTTTTAGTTTCCAGTAAGCACTCGGTTGGAATTTCTTATGAGCCCATTTTTTTGTGTTTGTGCCGTTGTGGCCTTTCTGTTTGTATGGTACTTTGTTTTTTGTCCCTTGTTGTACAACAAAGAGGGGGAATTAGAAATACCCTTTGTCCGTCCGTTCATGCAAGTTATGAGCTTGATCACTTAAAATAAGCACGGTACCTCCTTTGGTGTGTGGCTGCATCTAGGCATAAGAAAGTTTCCTTTAGAAAATTGGGTTGCTACATCAAAATCCAAGATGGCTACCACCATATATATGTAAACTGGCCACCACAATCATTTGAGGAAAATATGCATTTTTTTATTTTTTATTACTTAAACGTATAGTTTCCTCAAGGGCAGCACGGTGGCGCAACTGGTAGAGCTACTGCCTCTCAGCGAGCAGGTCCCTGGTTCAAACCCCGGTCCAGGGGCCTTTCTGGGTGGAGTTTGCATGTTCTCTCCGTGCATGCGTGGGTTTTCTCCGGGTGCTCCGGTTTCCTCCCACAGACCAAAAACATGCATGTTAGGCTGATTGGTAACTCTAAATTGTCCCTAGGTGTGAGTGAGAGAGTGAATGGTTGTTTGTCTCGTTTGTCTCTATGTGTCCCTGTGATGGACTTGCGACCCGTCCAGGGTGTACCCCGCCCCTCGCACAGTGATTGCTGGACATGGGCATCAGTGACCCCCGTGACCCAAACTGGAATAAACGGGTAAAGATAATGGATGGATGGATGGATGGATGGATAGTTTCCTCAAATTATTGGGGTGGCCAAAGATTTTTCTGTGTCAGGGCTGTTAAACTGGCAGCCCCGGGGGCCAAATCAGGCCTACGGATGAGCTCAGTTCAGCCCACCAATGAGTTCATTTTTAAATAAAACTAGATTTAAAACTATTAACCAGATTTCCTTAATGACAGTAACTGCTGGATGTCTGGCCTCTGAGGCTCTTGGCTCTCAGTAACTGTGGTCTCCAGAGATATTTTGTTGAATTACCCTGTTCTGTGCAGTCAAGGCCACCACTGGCCACCCCTGGCTCCACTGTTACAGCTGGTGGATAAAATGGCTCCCTCCACTCTCCACAATCTGCCACTCTGCTCGGTCTCCTTGCCTTGTGGGACACTTCAACCCGAGGGCAGCAGGATGAAACAACTTCATTTTACATAGATTGTCAGAGTCAAGATTTTATTTTCCTTTTATAACTCGTCTTCTTTCCTGTTTGGAAAAGACAAGGTGCCTGAAACAGTCAGATTTGTGTTTGTCGAGACTCGGCATCCGCACCGTTGTTTCGGTTTTCTGGTTGTTTCCTGCACACCCTGAGCTAGTTTAGCTTCTAACAAATTAAAACGCTCGGCTCGTTCAGGAGGTCGCTGCTTTGACTTTAGGTTTTTGTAACTTTTACACTTTTTAATAAATAATAATACTTTTATAATATTTAACTGTATTTAAAAATATTTTCCCTATGGGGAGTGGTAGCACAGAGGTTGGTGAAAAGTGAGCCTGTGATTGGAAGGTCACTGGTTCAACTCCCCAGACCAACAACATCAAAATGTGGATGGGATAGGTGAAGCACCCACACCTGCCTCCACCCTTATTTGCCCCACTCTGGGCCCTTGAGCAAGGCCCTTAACCCCCTCCATCTGCTCCCCCGGGCACCCTAGATGGCAGCTCTCTGCTCCACACACAGGGCTGTGGTAGCGCAGTGGTCTGTGGTTGCATCACGAAGGACATCCAGTGTGAAACCATTTACCAAGTCTTTGTGAGAGTTCGTTCACTGTGAGACCCCTGAAGAAGGGAGCAGCTGAAAGAAAAGAATATATACTGGTATACGTTTCCTCCACTGAAATCCAGTGAGATCCTTATAATTGGTTCAAAAACATGGTTTGACGTAGAATCTGCTACAGAGTACTTTTTCCATTTTTTTGTTTTTGTACTACTTTTAGTTTCACCAACTGTTCTGCTGTTTTTAGCTACTCATTTGTTGGCTTCCTTTCTACTAGCTTTTTGATACGTCTAGCAAGCATTTTTCTTTTAGCTAAGATTTTTTTAGCTTGTGCTTTGCTAGTTTTGACTGTTCACTTTTGTCTTCAGCTGATTTCAGTTGTCATTCAGCTCGTCGTTCACGCTGCATTTGGTCTCTAGTTTTGTTTGCTTTAATTTGTGTCAGTCGTTTATTCAGATAAGCAGCAACTTATTTCAAGCATGCGTAGGCCTGTCACGATAACAATTGTTGCTGGGCGATTGTCTCAGAAATTATTGCGATAAACAACAATATTGTTTTAAATTTGACAATAATTAGTAATTATTGTAAAATTTAACAAGAAATGTTGGTTAATTTGTTTTGTGTTTAGTACATTTTTTTTGACCACCGGATGGTAGTATGAGATGGTTTGAACCGAAGGATGGATAGTGAGGGAGCGAGCAGCGTGTCTCTTTTAGAAGAATGGGAGGGAGGCCCGTTGACATGACATGGGCTGTCTCTCCTTTCTTTTTTTCAGTTCTCAAAATGGCGTACACTCGGTGTGGTTTGAGCTCTTTAGCATAGCATTTGTCACACAAAGTTTTTAATAAAAATCAGTAAACAAGTTTCAGCTTCTTTTTACAGAGAAAAACAACTTTTTACAAGAAGGCACGGGTTTCAACCGTGAATTTTGGAGCTTCAACAAGACAGAGGTTTTTTTCCCTAAGGTCGGCCTGTTAGCTTAGCTACTAGCTTAGCTTCTCATCTTAGCTGCTTGTAACGATCCAAAAACGCAATTTTGGACAGTTAAAGAGAAAGGGAGGGGTCAGTGAAGAACACCGGAGTTGAGCCTTTTGTCATCCAGTGTCTTCAGTAGAAAGAGAGACACGAAGAAATGATAAAGCTGATAAATGAAAATGAGGTCGATAATTTTCATTCATCATGTGATTAATTGATTAATTGATTGTTTATCGCGACAGGCCTAAGCATGCGTTTCTGAACCGTGTCAGAAAGGATCTCATTGTAAGCTTCACATGAGCTGTATGCACACCTGTTCACCTTTTTGCCTGCTGAATGTTAAAAAGTCTACATTTTTATTCAGATTGTATCCTTCTGATGCGGCAGTTTTTCATGACGGTCTTGACTTCCTGAGTCAGAAATGTGAAAAGACTTTTGAGAATTGAACCCTTGGTGGTCTACACAAGAATGAAGGAACACTGTTGTTACTGAGAGCTGTGGCAGCTCTGATAAATATGTGATTGTAATTAATTTAATGGTAAAGTTAAAACATCTTTCCTCTGGAGTTCCTCACTGACCGTTTTGTTGTCCTCGTGGTGTGCAGGTGCAGTTTCAGAAGGTCCAGCAGCTTCGTTTGTCTCAGTCTCGGGCTCAGTACTACGGAGGCTCTCTGCCCAACGTCAATCAGATCGGAAACGCCAGCATCGAGTTTCAGGTGAGACCTTCTAACGTTCAGAAACCTGCAACCCTCAGCTGAACCGTTCGTAGGCAGAAGGGCTGACCAAATCTTCTGGATCTTCACGATGCGTTCTACAAACCACAGTGTTCTGGAGAGACATGCAGGAGAAACACACGCTTCATGTGCTACGTCTGATTGTTCTGGAGCGGTTTTAAGAACCAAAATATTAAATTTATAAGTGACAAATTATTTGAACTTCACTGTGATTTATGTACTTTTATAACAGCAGAAAATAGAACATTTAAATCACATTTATTTTACATTTTTGAAAAAACAAAATTAGTAGCTACTTAAAAAAATACAAAAATACTTTTTTGTCGGCATTGCAGCTTCACCACGACGGCCGTGCTGCTCATATCTGTATCTGTGTTTCCTTCTTGTCTGAACTGTCTTTAGTCGTCGAGTTAAACTGCAGCTGGACGTCATGAACCAAAGACTTGAACACACGCTCTCTGAAGAGGAGAAACTGCTTCTCCTCACATCACTATCTGCCACATCCAAGGTCCTCCTCTCTTTTAGGAGCTTTTCAAGGCTGATTGTGTCTGACTTCCAGTTCTAGCGTGTCAAAACAGACCAACAGTAAACTAAACCTCCAGAAGTGCAAAGAAATGAAGCTGCGTCTGAGAGTACTCAATAATTCAGATGGTTTCTGCCTCTGAGGGAAGAGATGGACTAAAACATCAATGCACAAATCCTCCACACTCTGCTGTACATGATCTAACAGGACTTGTTGTAGCCCGGTACTCAGTATGTGTGCCAGCTCCCCCAGGAGGGCTGGGCTACACAAGGTCCAGCTGAAGGTGTCCTTGTTTTTAAAGAATAGGCCTTTTTAAGTGGGGCGGTGTTTGCAGCTCTCATGTACAAATCAATCTGCACAGAGGAAGGAAAGCCTCAAGCAGTCCTTTCACCAAAAGCTGACAAACTAAACGACTCCTAGATTCCTCTTTATGATAATTATTCATTAACCTACTTTCACTAATAATTTTAATAAACTTGGCTTACTGTAGCGCTAACGTGAACTAATGGTCTTTAAAGCAGTGGTTCCAGGCTGGAGAGAGGGGGTGTGCTAATGGTTCAGAAGCTGTCTAAATGTTTTGCACATGTACAAAAATCAGACTCGAATAAGGTTTTATGACATTTAAAGAGTTAAAAACACATTTATATGCAGCTTACACAGTTGTATTTTTAGATGCAGAATCCTGAGTTAAACGTGCTAAACCGTTAGAAAAGTTCAGATACAATTAAACAAATGTCTACTTGAGTCCTTAAGCACTGATGTGGAGGAAATTATCTGTTTTGAATGTTTACAAGTTCACATAAAAGATTCACAAGTGATGCACGTTGGTGTTCCTGTTGTACTTCAGATATTGATTTAATGTAAACATGCAGTGCATCGATGTCCCCGACCCCCTTCACTCAAGCATTTGACTAGTGAATGTCGTTTTTGAGATGGAGCGTTTTTCTGGACTGGATTTGAACGGGGAATGCAGGTAAACTTTAATGCTGTTGGTATAAGATATTATAGTTGTTGTTTAGCTATTTATTTAAGTATTTATTGCATGTTCAAGGAATCTAAAAAAGTTAAATCTGGTCCTCTGGACATTCAAAAAAACAAAACAAAGCAAATCAACAAAAAAATGTAGAAACGTTTCGTCTCTCATCCGAGAGACTTCCTCAGTCTGAGGAGCTGTATTCAGCTCAGTCTCTTAAATAGCACCTTCTCAGAGTGGATCAACCAGTTTTGCTGCTGACAACCAAAACCAGCTGATCACATGCTCAAGAAGGACCATCAGCCTAACAATGGATCATTAGCACACTGATGGCTGTTTACTATTCACAGAGGGCTGAGTGATACTAGCAATCACAGCATTGTAAGAGGGGGACAGTTGAACCCGGAGGCCTCCACCCCTGTTTAATGATGGACGATTTCTTTTCACAAAGATGGCCTCCTTTACTCCTCTCTCAAACCATCGTTCCTCTCTGTCCAGGATGTGAACATTTTTTGAATGTCCAGAGGACCAGATTTAACTTTTTTAGATTTTTCTACCTGGATTATTGAGCATGCATCAGGATATGTTCAAGGAAGTTTAGAGATCCTAGCAAGTGAAGGGAGCAATTTAATCCACCACAATGTGCATTGATGGAAGCACGGGGGGTGGGGGTGGGGGTGGGGGGTTCAATGGTGTCCTTGGCCTCCATTGAGTAATCTGCAGCCACCCCAAACATTTGATGAAACTCCCAAGGAGGGCGCCCCGCCCTGTCAACAGAATCGAGTGTCCTGCCAATCGAAAATCCCCTCCCCAAGCAACTGCCGGCACTAACGTAGTACAGCGAAAGAGATTATATTCTGTACAGTGGTCCAAAAGATGGGTGAGTGCACATGCTCGTAGGAGCGCGGCTCCTTATTCTTTAGATAGAAAAGGTGAAAGACCATGAGGATATGACAGTGTTATTTAAAAAAATCTCTTCACACCTTGTCAGGAAAAGATTCAAGACATAAAAAAAACTCAACCAGCAAGCACATTTATAGACGGACACACATGAGCCGTGTGCCGTTTGTACTGACGGTTTTCAAATGGGGAGGGGGGTGTCGGCGTGAGGGTTCAGCATGAGGGAGGAGGCTGCCTTTAGCTTTTTAGCTATTACACCTGCATTGCGAGCTACAGTTTAGCATTACGTCAGTGCTGACAAGTAGTTGGGGGGCAGTGGAGAGGTTCGGTAGATGGGGCGCTCGGCTCTGTTGACGGGGCGGTGCGCCCCGCTTGTATAATGGTAGGGGAAACGCTGCTTTTTGTAGGTGTTCCAAACCAGCACAGAGGACTGTCACTGTGTGGCCCAGCAATAGTCCTCTTATACATCAGCAAGTGTGTTGATGATGTCACCACTACCAGGACTGTGAAGTGCAACCCGAACCAGAAACCCTGGATGAACGCAGAGGTTTGTTCCCTGCTGGAAGCCAGGGACACTGCCTTCAGGTCTGGAGACTCACATGAACTGAGGAGGACAAGGAAAGAGCTGTCTGCTGGTATAAAGAGGGCTAAAGCAAGATATGCAAGGAAGATCCAGGGACATTTCTCCTCGCAGGATCCATGGAGCATGTGAAGGGGCATTAAGTGCCTCACAGACTATAAAAGCAGGGGTGCACAATGCCCTAGGGACCCATCACTGCCTGATGCTCTTAACAGGTTCTCTGTCCACTTTGAAGACTCAAATAGACCACCCAGCACCAGACTCTCCTCACCATCTGAAGAGGACTTTTTGGTTTTGAACCAGTTTGATATGACTGGCGACGAGGAAGAAGGCTGTCTCCAGAGGAGGGGGCATGCCAAAGACACCATCTTAGCACCAACATGACTGGTTTGTTCCACTTTGGAGTAAGCTGGTTGGGGGAAGAATAAGTTTTGTGTTGTGTGTTTCCTTGACTGATGAAGCCTTCTGGATGGAAGGTGAAATGTTTCAGCAAAAAAAAAGAAACTGTCCAGATGACCTGACTGAAAATTGTTGAAGAGAAGTTTTTCATCATGACCTCAGCAGAAGTGAGGGGGACCTTCAGGAGGATTAATCCTCACATAGCAACGGGCCCATATAACATACTGGGGACGGTGCTGAGGGACTGTGCCGATCAGCTCTGCGAGTGTTAGCCGATATCTTTAACTCCTCTCTCACCCTGGCAACTGTTCCCACCTGCCTGAAATCCGCCACCATCATCCCACTTTATAAAAGCTCTGCAGTGACTGGTCTGAACGACTACCAGCCAATAGCCCTCAACTCGATAGTCGCTAAATGCTTTGAAAGACTGGTCATGACCCACATCAAAGGTACCATTGACATCAGCGCCTATTCTCCAAAAACGCCCACCCTCATCAGTATGCATACCGCAAGAATCGATCAACAGAGGATGCAATCTCCTCTGTGGTCCACACTGCTCTCACCCACCTGGAGCAGAAGGACTCCTACATCTGTATGCTCTTTGTGGACTTCACGTCTGCTTCAACACCATGATCCTTCAAACCCTGATGGACAAACTATTCACACTAGGACTAAGCCCCTCCATTTGCAACTGGATCCTGGACTTCTTAACAAACAGACCACAGTCTGTGATGATCCACAACTTTTCCTCCTCCACGATAACCCTCAGTACTGGCTGTCCTCAGGGCTGAGTGTTGAGCCCTCTCCTGTTCACTCTGCTCACATATGACTGTGCACCTACCCATCCAGGCTGTCGTATTGTAAAGTTTGCAGATGATACAGCTATCCGGCTACAGGCAGAAGGTGGAACACCTAGAGAACTGGTGCAGGAAGAACAACCTCCACATCAACGTGAAGAAGACGAAGGAGACGATTGCAGATTTCAGATGGAGAAAACATACCTACACCCACCCCCGAACATAGGAGGATCTGCAGTGGAAGTGGTCTCTAGCTACAAGTACTTGGGTGTGCACCTGAATGACAACCTCAGCTGGAGCAACAACACTAGCAGCTTGATCAAGAAAGCTCATTAGAGACTCTACTTCCTCAGGCAGCTGAGGCGAGCTGGTCTGGGAAGCTCAGTCCTCACCTCCTTCTACAGGTGTGCAGTGGAGAGCATCCTGTGCTCCAGCATCAACGTGTGGCATGGAGGCTGCACAGCTGCAGAAAGAAAAGCTTTGCAGAGAGTGGTGAAGGCTGCACAGAAGTCTGTTGGCGTCAATCTCCCCACCATCACATACATCTACACCTCTAGATACAGGAAGAGGGCCACCTGCATCATGAAGAACCCCACTCACCCAGCACACACACTTTTTGCGCCGCTCCCCTCAGGCAGAATGTTGAGGAGCATTAAGTGTAGAACCACTAGACTGAGGAACAGCTTCTACCCTGAGGCTGTTAGACTCATGAAACTCTAACCAGAATATCCACTGTGGAAAAATCACTGTAATGCCACTTTGATTGGTGATATGTGACTTATCTGTGCTGCTGATTATGGACTGTAGACTGTACTTATATAGCACCTTTCCATCTTATTTCAAGATACTCAAAGCGCTTCACAACACAATCTGTGCCCTCATTTACCCTCATGTATACAGCAGCATAAAATAATCAGCAGCATGAGATCAGCAGCATGGATAATGGGGCGGCTGTGGCTGAGTGGTTAGAGCAGTTGTCCTCCAATGCGAGAGCTGGGGGTTCAAATCCACCAGCAGTCACATGCTGAAGTGTCGCTGGGCAAGACACTGAACCCCTCAATGCCTCTGATGCGTGTCCCATCAGTGTATGAATGTGATAAAGCTCTGATTAGTCTCATTAGAATGATTTGTTCAATTAGCTTTGTAGAGATCTAGTACAGAGCTGTATGAATCGATAAATGAGGCACAGATTGTAGTGTAAAGCACTTTGAGTATCTTGAAATAAGATGGAAAGGTGCTATATAAGTACAGTCCATTTACCATTTACCCATTCATACAGCACTCTGCCATATCTCTACAAAGAATAATCAGAGCTTTATCACATTCATACACCGATGGGACACACATTGGAGGCAATAAGGGGTTCAGTGTCTTTCCCAGGGACACTTCAACATGTGACTGCTGGTGGAACCGAACCTCCAACTCTTGCATTGGAGGACGACTGCTCTAACCACTCAGCCACGGCCGCCCCATCATCCATGCTGCTGATCTCATGCTGCTGATTATTTCATGTTGCTGTATACATTAATTCGTACCCATCTGCTCACACAGACTCATGTTTGGGCTGCTGTTTAATATACCATATTGTTTTACATTATTAGTGTTTGGCGTATATCTTAGATCTTTTAGTGTACCATTTGGCATTCGTTTAGCATATTAGTTTATATCTTAGAACCTTATATACTGTTTCTTCTTACACTTTATATTTTTGCCATTTTGGGTGTAACTGGGACCTTGTGTACATAATTTCCTTCCACCTCATGTACCACATGTGATGAATTGACAATAAACCTTCTTGATCTTGAACTTGAACCACAGACACTGAGCTATCACAGCCCTCTGTGGAGCAGAGAGCTGCTATCTAGGACACCCGGGGGAGCAGATGGTGGGGGTTAAGCGCCTTGCTCAAGGGCCCAGAGTTGGGCAATTGAGGATGGAGGAAGGTGTGGGTGTTTCACCTTTCCCACTTACATTTTGATGTTGTCGGTCCAGGGAGTTGACCCGGTGACCTTCCGATCATAGGCCCACTTTCTCTAACCTCTGCACCACCACTCTTGCATTAAAAAACTTGTAACAAGGTGCTACAACGATCCTTACAGGGATTAAAGATTATCTTCATAGAAAGAAATGCAGATTCTAGTTTGAATGAATGAGTTTACCACATGAGAAAATGAACGTTTGTTTTTGTTCTAATCTCAACACAGTGTTTATGATCAGGTGAATGTAAACACATTTTATCTGTAGCCTAAAGTTAAAACTCAAGCGCAGAATGTTGTAACATTAGTCCAACAGAAAGGACTAAAGTCCAGTTCAACTCTGCCAGCTGTAAGCACACAGCTACCATTAGTAGTTTGGAGTTTAAATTGTCTGTCATTGAACAAAAAAATGTATCTGGATAATTCCCAGAAGCTGCAGCAGATCATGGAGCAGTTTTTCTCTCATCACTGGAACTTAAAGTCAGTCTGGTTCCTCTTTCAACAAGAGCTTCAAACTGCTGCTCCTGTTACAACATTAACACATGATAGTTCACACACACATTAATTAACATTAGACTGTTTCATGTGATTGGTAAAGAATATACAGTTTATCAGACGTGAAGGCCTGACAGGCCTAAACAGAAATCTGTCTCTGATTCTTTTGAAGAAAAGACTCAAGCATGAGAAAATATCCATCCGTCCATCCATCATCTTTACCTGCTTCTTCCTTTTCAGGTCACGGGGGTCACTGGTGCCCATATATAGCCATCATTGTGTGAGAGGTGGGGGACACCCTGTACAGGTCTCCAGTCCATCACAGGGACACGTAGAGACAAACAACCATTCACTCTCTCACTCACACCTAGAGACAATTTAGAGTTACCAATCAGTCTAACATGCATGTTTTTGGTCTGTGGGAGGAAACTGGAGTACCTGGTGAAAACCCACACATGCACCGAGAGAACATGCAAACTCCACCCAGAAAGGCCCCCAGCTGGGATTTGATCTGGCGACCTCCTTGTTGAGAGGCAGCAGCTCTACCAACTGCACCTCATGAGCAAAAAGTTAATTTTAAAATGTATTTAGAGAAAAACTCATATTTGATGATGAGCCACATCCTGTCATTACCCTGCTTCCTCACTATTAGTAACAAACTGTTATTTTGTTTTTATTTTATAGGGGGGCTTTCCTTCAGGGTTGGACTCAGTCAGAGGGACCCGCCACCATGGACTTGTTGAGAGGGTCCACAGGGACCGCAACCGCATCAACTCTCCTCACCGCCGACCCATTGACAAACACGGACGACAGATATCCTTTCAAACACAATTCAAACTGAACACACACCCGTGTGTGTGTGTGTGTGTGTGTGTGTGTGTGTGTGTGTGTGCGTGTGCGTGTGGTCCTGTTTGTTGTTTTGGTTTTGGTTTGCATTGTTGTGGTTTTCCTTGTGACAGCGTCAGTGTTGGCTGCTGGTTTGACGGCGTGTATTTCTGATGTGAATGATCAAGAGTGATGAACGGCAGGGAGCATCTGTGATTAAATACACATTCAATTAAAAAGATAAATGTTTTTCTGCAATATTTTGACAGGTAGTCAGTGTGGGTTTTATATAATTGTATATATCTTTACTTCCTGTTCTGTGCTAACCCCTGTTCATGTTAGCTGTTTAAACCATAAAGCTAGAGTAACTTTTCCTCTTTCAGCTTTTCCCTCTTCAGGGTCTCCACAGCGAGTCATCCTCCTCCATCTCTGTCCTCTGCGTCCTCTGTCCTCACTCCAACTACCTCCATGTCCTCTCTAACTGCATCCATGTATCTCCTCTTTGTCTTTTTCCTGGCAGCTGCATTTCTAACATCCCTCTACCAATATAGTAACCATTTTCATTAAAGGTACTCCATTCAGTGGCAATTTTTGACAATTGTCCTATTCAATTTTTCGCTTTCCTTTTGCATTTAGCGTCAGACTTACACTTCTGTTTCCTTCCAAATGTCTTCTCAAGTGTGAGATTGTATTTTCTAGTTTACAAGACAGTGGTGAGATTAGCTATGTTGTATGGTCTGAGACAGAGATGTGGACAAAAAGACAGGAGACAGAACTAGAAGTGGCAGAAATGACGATGTTGAGGTTCTTCTTAGGAGTGACAAGGATGGATAAGATTAGGAATGAGATCATCAGAGGTACAACACAGGTTGAACAACTGGGAGAGAAAGTTAGAGAGACCAGACTGAGATGGTTTGGACATGTCCAGAGGAGGGACAGTGTTTTGGACATGTCCAGAGGAGGGACAGTGGGTATATTGGTAGAAGGATGTTAGAAATGCAGCTGCCAGGACAAAGATAAAGAGGAGACATATGGATGCAGTTAGAGAGGACATGGAGGTAGTTGGAGTGAGGACAGAGGATGCAGAGGACAGAGGTGGAGGAGGATGACTCGCTGTGGAGACCCTGAAGAGGGAACAGCTGAAAGAAGAAGAGTCTTTGTGAGATTGTAGTGAGGTTTAATGTCATTTGTACCTGAAGAATACATCAAAGTAGCCACATCGGTAATAATTTTATATTTTAATCCAAAGACTTTTCTGGAGCTTTGAGCTAAAAAAAAAAAGAAAAAGAAAGTTATTTATTTGTAATTGTGATACTTCTTTTAAGTCATGTAGCTTTTTGATGCACTTTGTTGAGACGTAAAGCTGAAGAATGTCTGGTCATTCTGCCTGTTCCAACGTGTCTTATGCACATTTTAGTTACCTTAATTGATCAATGGAAAGAATCTTAAACTATTCTGAGTGGAGACACTTCAGTGAAGCTGTTAGTCCTCTCCAGTTTGTGCATGTTTTATTGCATGCATGCTTTGCATTAAATAAGAGGAGTGTCAGCAAGCCTCTGGGTTCTCTACCTCTGCCCTGCTACTGATAAAAATACACCCAGAGCATACGCAGGTGCGTTTCAGGACCATGGTTGTCCTTCTGTGGCTCGGTGCTGATTTGTTTTAACACCACTCCTAATCAACGTGATGTCTGAGACTGTATCCAGAGCAGAAGCGCTCAGCTTCAGAGTTTGGAAACGCCATTCCCAGACAGACAAAACATGCTTGTGATGCTGCACGCTTCCATACACGACATGACGGCCTCTGCTCAGGCTGTGGGCTGTTCATCAAACCATGCTCTCACTGTTTTCAGTGACATACTAACAACTAGAAAACTTCTAATGGAACGTGAAGGGTGCCTATGCAGCCTGAACTGCAACATCCATCAACTTTATCCTTTAAAGGTCAATTTGAGACCTTTTGAAATATTTTAAGTTGACGAACACTGTGTTTTAATGTGTACAAAGCATGAAGAAACCAAGATTAAAAGAAATAGACTGCTGCCATGGTAATCACAGGTCTGCATTTGTCATTTCCTGTCAAACAGCAGGTACAAAGGCAGAGCAGAAAATAGCTCCATGTCCACGTTAACACGACCCTTCACTTCCAGTTCTGAAGAGAAGCGTCTGAGCTCTCATGCACTCTGAAAACCACAGGTCCTCCAGCTGTGAGACGCACGGTGTGAAAAGTGACAATAGTGATGATGTTCTGATGTGTAAGTTGTCTAAGAGTAAGAGTTTCTTTGCTAAATTGTTGGAAAGTTTCAACTTTGTTAACTCAAAGGTGACATCATCGCAGGTTAAACATTTTAAAATCTTTAAATCAAACTGAATGGAAGAATTTCAAAGAGTCAAAATGTCAGTTCAGTACAATTGAACTGTGTGATTTGTTTAGATGCTGAGTGAACCAAAAGGCCTGTTTTACCACAGTCTCATTGTTGTCTGTGTGCAGATGTTTGGGTTTTTGTCACTTTTCTCTGCATCGTATCGCTTCTAAAAGACACGGTTCCTGATTGAGCTGCATGCTTTGACACAGTTTTTGATGGGTTTCTCCTAAAACTGTAGGAGATGGGATTTAAACATTGCAACATACACCGAACAACATAATATAAGAATGCTTTGGTGCTGATGCACAGACACCCTTCTTCTTCTTTCAGCTTTTCTATCTTCAGGGTCTCCACAGCGAGTCATCCTCCTCCATCTCTGTCCTCTGCATCCTCTGTCCTCACTCCAACTACCTCCATGTCCTCTCTAACTGCATCCATATGTCTCCTCTTTGTCTTTTTCCTGGCAGCTGCATTTCTAACATCCTTCTACCAATATACTCACTGTCCCTCCTCTGGACATGCCCAAACCTTCTCAATCTGGCCTCTCTAACTTTATCTCCCAGTTGTTCAACCTGTGCTGTACCTCTGATGATCTCATTCCTAATCTTATCCATCCTTGTCACTGCTAAGGAGAAGCTCAACATCTTCATTTCTGCCACTTCCAGTTCTGTCTCCTGTCTTTTTGTCCATGTCTCTGTCTCCAGACCACACAACATAGCTGGTCTCACCACTGTCTTGTAAACTTTCCCTTTGATCTTTGCTGACACCTTTTTGTCACAAATCACTCCTGAAACTTTTCTCCATCCACTCCCATCCTGCCTGGACTCTTCTTCACCTCTTTACCACATTCTTCATTTCCCTGGACAGTGGAGCCCAAGTCCTTGAAGTCCTGCACCTTTGTGACTTCTGCTCCTTGTAGCCTCACTGTTCCACCTCCTCCCTCTCATTCACACACATGTACTCTGTCTTGCTATGACTGACTTTCATTCCTCTTCTTTCAAATGCATACCTCCACCTCTCCAAGTTCTCTTCCACCTGTTCCCTGTTCTTACCACAGATCACAATGTCATCTGCAAACATTATTGTCCACCAGGATTCTTGATTCCTTGTTGAAAAGTTGATGCACAGACATCTTTAAAAACACAACAGTGCTCATTTCATGCAATGCATTTGTAGTTGAGGCAAAAATTCAGTGTACACTCAATACTTTAAATTAAAAAACAACTTGAAGGAAATTTTTTAAAAGACCCAAAGAGTTTTATTCTTTTGTTTTCTTGTTGACCTTGCTGTATTGTATTTGTGACAATGATTTCCTTAACCAAACTCCTACATGGAGAGCTCTCCGTATGGAGCGGTGTACCTGTCACCACCTCCAGACAACAGCTGGAGAAGGTAAGTGCCGCCTCTGTTAAGGCTTGGTTCTGACTCTCCTTCCTCTCAGTAGAGTATTTAGTGCCAGGATCCGTTTCCTCCTGCCAACGTGTTTCCTGTGCCGAGCCTCTCTGGACAGACCAGTATTTTCTGTCCCGCTTCAGATGCCAACCTTCTTGATCAAACGCACATCTGAGTGAATGAGAGGGAAGGGCTGATGGATGGGTGGAGTTGTTGGCCTTTTGTTGTTCCTGCTCAGATGTTTCAAGTGTGAGAATGCTGTGTTAACCCTGCCTCTGACTGAAAGTGTTTGACACGTAGCCTTTCGTTTTAAAGGTCATGCCCAGCAGCACACTTTCCACCCTCCAGTTTCTGTCTTTTGTGGTTCTGAATCTCCACTGTAGCTGAAAACTCGAGGGCTACTGTCTTATATTTGAGCTGGTCTTGTAAGCAGCAAAATGCCTTTTTCCAGCTCTGGTTGTGCCTACATATAGCAGCAGTGCGTTGGTAGACAGCTTTTCTTCAGTGTTTACAAGGGAGTGAATTATGGGCCTGTGAGACAAAGCTCAGCCAAGCTCCTCCTCACTCTCTCTGTCCTGCTGCTTTGTCTCCACTCTGGTGTTTAGTGTGCTGGCCTGGCTGTCTGCCAGTCACCCTGCCTCGTCTTCTTTACTGCACTGACACAGACGCCGGCCAAGCTCCTCATTGAGTGCACTGTAACAGCTTGTACTGTGGAAGTGAAGGAGCTCCACGCCCTCTCATTGTTGAGGGCACAGAACAGGTCGGCTGACAAATGGCTCTACAGAGCAACCAGACGTCAGCGCTCTCAGAACAAGGGGCTTTCTCTGAGAGACGGGGGGCACAAAGGACTGGAAGCTTACTCTCCGCTGGCCAAGTTTATTTCTATAGCACATTTCAAGTAAAAGCTATAGACCAAAAGGCTGCTCATCAGAATAGTACTGCAAAACCAGGGCAATAAAACACCTGCAAACAGTTCAATTAAATAAAAGCAGTAAAGCTAGAAAGCTCCTGGAGAAACTTTGATGGGGACTGACACATCATGACCATTTTAAAAATTTGATTCATCAGTACTTTGTATTGGGGTTCACTCTCAGCTGCCAATACACCAAATTTTAGCTCAGTGTGGCAAAAAATCAACGACTTGTAGTATTTTTTTTCTTTTAAGCTATTGTGATCATCTTGGATTTTTTAATTTGGTTTCAGTATGTGATGGGGAACATTTTCAGCTATTACCACACCAAATTTCAGCTCTGTTTGTTTAAAAATAGCTTGAGTTAAAGCCATTTAAATTTAGCTTTGGTGGCCGGCTTGAATTTTTTTAGTTTGAATTCAGTATTCATGGTGCATTGCTCTCAGCTACCACCACACCATATTTTAGCTTAATATCTCTAAAAATGGCTGATTTATAGATTGTTTAAATGAGAAAAATGGCATCTTTGCTTGCAAATTATGTCGCCATGGTAACTCAAAATGCCAATAAGCCTAATAACCACGATGCCGAGCCCATCGTATTGATATAAAGTTTATGGTGGTGCACATTGTGGTTCAGGCCACATTAAAGTTGAAGGAAGAGCAAGACCCAGTTCAGTCGGAGTGCACCGATTGCAGTTTTCTGGCCGATCACTGATTCCGATTTTGTCCGATACCGATATTGTTTTATAAGCGACACTGTCGGGTCTTATAAGGTCACAATGCATCTTCAATTTTCCAATATTATTTTATTGAAAAACATGCCCTTGAACAATATCCTAGAAACAATACAAACTTGTTTTAACTGCCCATGAGGTAGTGCTCTGAAATATAAATTAAGTTCAGACAATTGTTGTTAAAAGTAAAAAAAAATTGGATTCTCATGCAAGTATCGGACGATTTCCGATTTCCCAAAATAATGGAAATCAGGACCGATAAATTGGCCGGCCGATTTATCGGTGCACCCCTACTGTTCAGATGGATATTAAGAGGTGGCTGCTGTCCCCAAATAATATGGTCACAAAATTGAGTTCAGTTCACATAGTTCCATTTCAAAACAAAAGTCATCCCAGGGCATTGTACAACAAAAATAAGTCCTGTCAAGTTTGATTACAGTTAATTCAATCAAATTATGATGCAATACAATCACACAGAGTCCATTATGAAATGCTGATTTAAAGCAAACACACACGTGTTGAGTGTGGGACAGTTTGTTACAAAATGATGGAGTTACATCTGAAAAAGCCTGGTTTGTGTCCAATTCAGAATATAATAACAAAAATATATTTTTTAACCTTTTTTGAAAAAAAGTTTAAGGAAAGGTGATAAAATAAATATATAGAAATTTTAAACAAAGAGTCACTGTCATAGTAAAATGAAATGGGTCCAAAACTTGGACTCCAGTATAATGGTGTCCAGGTGTCTCAACTGGCTCCTCTGGATGTGGAGGAGCTGCGGTTCAACTCCGACTTTCTCCTGATAACTGAACTTTTCACCATATCTCTAAGAAAGTCCAGTTACCCTGTGGAGGAAACAATTTTTGACCACTTGTTTCTGCAGTCTTGTTCTTTTGGTCACTACCCAGAGTTCATGGTCATAGGTGAGGGTAGGAACGTTGACAGAGAGCTCCCTCTTCACCATAACGGACCGGCACACAGTACACAATACTGTGGACGCTGCACAGAAACTGCAGCTCCATCTGTCGATCTCACGCTCCATTTACTCATCGTGAACAAAACCCTGATACTTGTTTTTAATCTTGGTTTAAATGTGACATCTATTTTCTGTATTTCTTCTGGTTGGCTGTTCAGTGACCCTCATGTCTCACAGCTTAGCCCAGTGAATTTTCTAGTTTGTTTATTCGACTTTGTCATGCCAGCTACTCATTCACGTGTTACATAAAACCTTGTTTCTCCTCATCTTGGGGTGTCCCTGCAGTTTATCCTTCTGTAGAAACTGTTTTTGGTGTCTTAACCCACACGTGATTGGCTGTTCTGTGATTGGCATGGACCTGGTTGTGTCTCTGCAGCTCATATGTAGCCTCCTGCTCCAACCTGCAGCAGATTGTTGTCACACTGTGCAACAGGGATAAACTTCCCTTCTGGTCTTTTGCCCTATGCCTCTAGGCAATCACAGTAACGTGAACTTATGTTTTGTTTTTGTACCAAATTATTAGAGTTCAAACGTGAATGAGTTTTCCAAACATTGAAAATCTACAGATCATTGCACTTAATGTCAGAAAATGCATCTCAGATATTTACAGATGGACCTTCAGCTCGTCTTGTTTTAGTCACTGCTCCTTTGTTTTTGTTGGTTTGCTTGTTGAGATTGACGCAGGACCTGAATGTTTTTCCTGAAGGTTAAGTCAGGGCAATCTGGTGCTTTTTCTTGAGTCTACAGTAAGTTGTGATGTTACTGTCTAATAATCTCCATTAAATACTTTACTTCTATATTTACAGGTAGATATTTGTTGGCATGTAAAAGAGGTGATCATGGATGTTTAAACTTGTATGAATTGAACTTGACCAGCCAGCATCTGTTTTTACAAACAACAAAGTCCTGACATTTAAAACGCTCACATTCAATGATGCAGTTTAGTTTCCTAAATAACAATTTAAGATTAATTTACTAGATTTTAAGGGATATTTCAGAAACATTGATGTCTGGTTTTGTGTAAATTGTGTTAACTATTCATATCTTACCTGCTGTAGATAGCTCTCTGAATCAGTGGCATGAGGCAGAGTCTGACAGAATTTGATTGAATCATTATGATGCGTTTCTAAGACTCATCTCACGCTCTGTCCTGGACGATGGACAAAGCTCTACAATGAGTTTTGCTTTTTATTTCAGCATGCACCTTAAAGTATTTTTTTCTGCACTAGTCTGAGGCAAAAAGTAACATGTCTTTCACAGATCTGTTATTTCTTATACCATTTCATATAAGGTAATCAAAAAAGATTTGCCTTAAAGTATTTGAGCCTTGCTGTTCAGGAATCACCTCCCTGGAAGATTTAGGTGTAGAAACGGAATGATTTAAAGACCAGTTTTCAGAAACGTTTAAACCTTTAAAAATACAAAATATTCCATTTTAACAGTCAAAGCTAAAACATTGCAGTGCACCTCCATCCTTTTTATTTAACTTGCCTTTCCATGCAGAGTCACAGGTGTCTGTGCCCAGCAGTCATTGTATGAGAGACGGGGGACACCTAGACAGTCCAGTTCGTCACAAGATGCACATGAAAGAGTGGTCGCTGGCCTGCAGATGCGTGTAGACCGCAGAGTGCTTCAGGGATGAAGATGGAGAGGAACTTTGGTTTGAGAGAGGAGTAAAGGAAGCCATAGGGGTTGAACGACTACATAATTTTTAAACTAGATATTAACATAATAAAACTCGAGTAGAACTCGAGTAGTTGATGATGTCATAGGATCTCAAGATGCAAAAATAAATAAATAAAACCACAAAAAATGTAATTTATTATTTACAAAAAAAAAAACAACAACAAAACATTGGGAGCATATATTATGCGCCTACCATTTATCATACTGCAAATAAGTCACAGGAAAACCTGAACTATTAGTTTTTATTATTAAGCTCCAAAAGTGAAAGAAACGTGTAGCACGTAAAAAAACGAAACTAAAAACAGTGGGGCAGACGACCACCTCTGACCACCGCGAGCTGTGGTGCACATTAGGTTTAATTTTAGAGATTAATATGTTTTTAGTTTTTTTTATAAGTTTAGAGATTAATATTGTTTGCGTTTTGTTTGTGAAACAAGGTCAGAGAAAGCTGGTTCGGTTGATTGGACCCAGTGTTGAACCATATTCTGTGACCTGCAACAGTGCATACAACACCGCCCCCTACGGTCACAATATACAGTGGTCACAGAAAATGGTGTAACACCGGTTCCAACGAGCTCCAAACAGTCAGGAAGTTGATTCATTTTCTGTTTCCTTATGGTAGTTGAACCGGAAGATTCATCTTTAGTGAAATATTTCCAGACTATTGATGCATTTCTACCTGTTTGCCAAGA